ATCCCTTAAGAGTGTTCCTATACACAACCCTTTAGTAATTAGGGTCCCAATTTAGGGGCTTCTACTTTCTAGATCCTTCCGGGGGTCTGGGAAACTAGCATGCTATGCTTTACTAGAAAAGTATAATACAACATAACCCCTACCACAACATAATCTACCATTCTATGAAGAAGCTGGGGAGAGTGGTAATAAGATTTTTTTTGCCAGGGTTTGATAGGGTTTTATAGGTTTCTTTAAACGAGTTTCTTGGTGCCATGGTTTGATATGACTAGTTATCTGACTCCTCAGGGATCCCTCATGACCCATCAACTGCTGAAATAACCACCAAAAAATGCAGTCATAGCAGTAGAGATGACGAGCTGAGGCATTGGAAACTAAGGTTTCCCTAAACCCTTAATCCTAAACCCTAAACCCTAAACCCTAAACCCTAAACGTTTAAGTTTAACTTTCAGGAACCCTAGACCCTAAACCCGATAGGGCTCATGGTTGAGGTCTTGGGCTCAGGGTGCAGGGTTGGGTTTAGGGTTTGGGGCTTTGGGTTTAGGGTTTAGGGTTTAGGGCTTAGGGTTTAGGGTTTAGGGTTTAGGGTTTAGGGTTTAGGACCTTGGGTTTAGGGTTGAGGCGGCTGAATACTTTTAATGGACACAAGTTTCCTCAGTGTACAGCCTGTGACCCTAAACCCCAAGCCCCACAGCCTATGCCTTACGCCCTAAACCCTGGAACCCTAAACCCTAAACCCTAAACCCTAAGCCCTAACCCAGACCTTATACCGTAAGCCCTACACCCTGAACCTCAAGCCCTAAACCCGTAACCCCAAGCCCTTGAACCAAACCCCTAGACCCTAAAACCCTATCAGCCCTATAAGCCCAAAACCCCCAAAACCCCGAAGAACCCTACAAGCTCTTGAAGCCCTATAAAAACTCCTACAAGACGCTATAAGATCCTATGAAATCCCATAAAACCTTACAAATCCCCATAAAACCCTTTACAACCCAATTAAAACCCCAAGCCAGAACGTTTCCCATCTCTGCTTTCAGGCCCTGCGCTCGGATGATGCGCGCTGGCACGGGGAGAGCTGCCTCGAAATCGAGCGGGTGCCCTTTGCCTCCTTGGAGCAGGGTTCAGGGTTCTAGAAGGGGTTTAGGGTGTAGGGCTGCCTTTAAGGGTTCCATAAGGGGTTTAGGGTTTAGGGCTGCCTTCAAGGCTTCTATAAGGGGTTTCGGGGGGTGTAGGGTTTTAGGGTTTTATGGATTTAGGGTTTCATGCAGGCTGCCTTTAAGGGGTCTATAAGGGCTTTCTATCGGGGGCTTTTGCAGTGGTGCAAGGGTGTATTTAGAGGTTTGGTTTAGGGTTCAGGGTCTGGGGTTCAGTTTTAGGGCTTGGGCTCAGGGTTTAGGGTTTAGGGTTTAAGGTTTAGGGTTTAGGGTTTAGGGGTATAAGGGTAGGAGGTCATCCGACGCTAGCGTTTAGGGTCTAGACACTAGTCTGGAAGCCTACATCAATACAAAAGCTAGTTTTGGCCCAAAAGCCGCATGCGTTTCTAATTATGAAGGCCCAATATTAAATAGAGTTTGGGGTTTCGCTCAATGAGTTGGGTTAGGTAAGGGTTTCGGAATTAGGTAGGGCTATCATTTAGGGTTTCGGAATGAATGAAGGTCTAAGGTTTTGGGCATTTTTGATGCTTTTGTAAGGAAATGTGCGTGTACCTACACGTGCAGGCTGCACACGTGTATATATAAGAATATATATATATATATATATTATACACATGTATGTATGTATGTATGTATGTATGAATGTATGTATTAATGTAATGTAATGTAATGTAATGTAATGTAATGTAATGTAATGTAATGTAATGTAATGTAAGGTAAGGTAAGGTAAGGTAAGGTAAGGTAAGGTAAGGTAAGGTACGGTAAGGTAATGTAAGGTAATGTAAGGTAATGTAAGGTAATGTAAGGTAATGTAATGTAAGGTAATGTAATGTAATGTAATGTAATGTAATGTAATGTAATGTAATGTATGTATGTATGTATGTATGTATGCGTATGCATGCATGTAAGCATGTAGGAAGATAGATGCAGTTTTCATACGCATGCATGGCTGGCTGGCTGACTGACTGGCTGGCTGGTTACTACATAAATGTTCCTCTCTTAGTTTCATGCAACCCTAAACCCTAAACCCTAAACCCTCACACTCACTTCAGTTAGTTGAAGCATGTCAAAGCCGCCATCGCCTTCTGCTGGGAGTGCGTCTGCTGCTTGTGGGTAGTGAGGGTTTAGGGTTTAGGGTTTAGGGCTGCTTGGGCGCTTTGTCGACGGCTTTGGGCTGCAGTGTAGAGCTTTGTGGAGTGTAGTATTACTGTAGGTTGTCAGCAGCGGATCAAGGTTTCCTAGACCTTAAACCCTAAACCCTGAACTCAAGCTTTACGGTTTAGCCGTCATAGTTGGAAAACTCCGAGGTATCAGGATCGGGCTTGAGGCTTATGGGCTGAATCAGGCCGCGGCGGATGAAGTCTAAACGCACAATGGTTGGGCCTCTGCCTTTGAGAATAATGGGGTTGAGGTTCAGCTGAAGTTGATTTTATTATAGAGGTCGGAATACTGTACTTAATAATGCTACCCTAAGCCCTAGACACTAAACTCTAAAAGCAACCTTAAACTAAACCCTACACCCTAAAACCCTAAAATCCACTTAGGTCCCTACATCATGTACTTTTGGTTGGTGGTAGTAGTCGTCATGCGGCTCTGTCCTCTTGTAAAAGTACAGATCAGGGTTCAGGTACTTGGAGGATCATGGGACTTAGAAACTAGGGTTTTAAAGAAGGTAATTATAATAATTATAACCCCAATTCGGGTACTTATAACCTTACTTGCTAAGTCCCATGACCCTCCAAGTATTAAGTGTCAGTGTGTAGGGTTCACTGTTTTGGGCTAGGGTCAGGATTTGGGGTTGCGACATCCAGTGCTTTAGGGATCCCAACTTCGCAAAAAGATCCTTCTTGTAGTCCCATTAGAGTTGGTTACTTCAAAACTCTATTCTAACATGTAACTGTTGATGTCAACTGACACTATTCGGCACTCTCCTGCTTAGGTGCCTGGGCCACGGTTTAGGGTTCAGGGTCTGGGGCCTACAGGCGTGCTCTGCTTTTTTGGGTTTCCACTCTTGTGACGCCGGGCTCGAATCAAACCCCCTAACTCTAAACCCTAAACCCTAAATCCTAAACCCTAAACCCTAAACCCTAAATCCTAAACCCTAAACCCTAAATCCTAAACCCTAAACCGAACCCCTTAAACCCCAGATAGAACGCTTAAGGCCCGAAGCCCTTCAGAACTTATCTTCCACCCAGCCGCCGGGCCAAAATCAGCTCCGTTCACTTGCAGAGCAGACTGCGTGTTGTGCGTTTTCGCTTATAGGGTTGAATGACAGGCCTTAGGGTACATCAAGCTCGCCACTCATTCTCCCAACTTTGATGGGCCTAGGCGGCCTAGGCCTATTATTTTTATCTTCACATAGTAGAGATCCGCCACGAACGTTTCAAAAGCGGCATCAGGAAGTTGCAACTTGATTGACATTCCACGGGATTGGGAATGGCTTTGCATCGGATGCAAGCGAATGGACCGCTTGTGACGTAGTTTTGGGTTCGTGCCTAAGCCAATGCTTCTTATCAGGATCCAGCGCCCCAGGTGACGATTGCTATAGCAGAGGAGTATAGACGCCACAAGCATCTCACGCCAAGACCCCATCCTATCTGCAGACGTCTTATACCAGGGTGTTTCAGGGGTGTAGCTTGTAATCATGAGCTGAAACAGCATGCACGACAATGCTACTTGCCGGGGGTGGTGCCGACCAGACACGGCCGTGCTTTCGTTGACCGACACATTGTGCGGAGTCTTTTGGCAAGTGCCTGTGAGAGAGTGTTCTGCAAGAATTGCATGAAGGCTGTTGTCAAGCTATCGTGCGACACATGCTTGGTGCACCTGTGTGCTGCCCTGCTAAGATGTGTTTGGTGCCTGCCGGTAGACATGGTCTGGCATCGTTCCACGTTTTTGCGCAGTCTGCGAAACCCATCGCTGATTGTTTAGATGTTCCCGGCAGCGACAACCACCCAAAGGTCTTGTCCATCATACCTACTGTTCACCACGAATGATCACGAATGTGAAGCTGTGCACGGAGATCGATGGATTTTGAACTTAAACTCCCTGTGTAAGCTTTGCCTTTCCTGAAGTAAATTTCCAACCTAAGTGCACAACTCCCAAATTTGAAACCTAAACAAGACATCGTGAAGCATGACACCGTAAGTTTCAGACGTGATGCCAGGAGCTGCTTCACCTGCAGCTTACCAGCAAGACCATGCAGCGGCAAGTCCAGGCTCCACGTTCGCGTTCGAGAATGGCTCTGGGTTCGGTCTTATGTTGTGGCCCACAGCTGGAGCTGGGGTATGAAACGTTGCAAGACTTCTTTCGGCTCGCATAAGCAGTCGGACAGGGGGTTGGTCCCTGCCTAATGCTTCCCAAATCGGCAAGCCGTCGCAGGGATCCGGAGTTGGAGTGCATGGATGGATGACCCCGACGCCCTGCACACAAAACCTCATATTCAGGGTCTTAACGTAGGTAGTAAGCTGATACCATGAAAGTCACAGCAGAGACAGCTGCAGCATAATAGCAAGACGGTGGCAACACGTTCAAAGATAGTATGGAGGCAGTCGTAGTATCGCTGAGGACCACACGATGCTTAGATGGTGCGAACCGCGCGGGCTAAATATTGCTCCTGACATACTGCGACTTTAACTTCAGTCTCAAAACGTCTCTACAAAAAACCTCCCTAAACCCTAAACGCTAAACCCTAAACTCCCTTCCCTTCTTCGTGTGGTGTTTGAGGTGGAAGGTGAAATTTTGTGTGCTGCAGGGTTTGATACATGCAAAACCCCAAGACCCTGGAGTCTAGACCTTCAGCCCTAAACGGAGGCTGCTGAGAAGGTGGAGAAGCAACTGAAAAAGATGGCCAAGCTCTACAAAGAGACGGATGCGCAGGCTGCGAACCGTGGTTTTAGCTCCCAAACACACGAGCATGCACGTCCTTGTCAGCTTAAGGAATTCCAATCTTCCACAGCCAATAAACCCTAAACCCACAAAACCCAAACCCCCGAAGCCCTGAAACTTACACCCCCGAGCTGGCACTTAGAGATTTGGGGTTCAAGCCTCCGAAACAGCATTGCAAGCTCGGCGGCTCACCAACGAAGCCGAAACCCTACGAATGGGACATCGGTTCAGGGTTCAGGATTCAGGGTTTCCGGTTTAGGGTTTAGGGGCTGTGAGTTTGGATCATCCTCTGATTCCAACACCTTAGAACTTTAAGGATATATGGGAATCACTAGGAGAAGTATACCTTCAGAGTCTGGTATGGCCCTAGTAAACCAAGGTCCAACAACTCCATTGCCTGCAATGAAATCTAAACCCCTAAGCCATGAACCTTAAAGTCCTGAAGCCCTAAAGCCCTCGCGAACGAAGCGCTAAACTCTAAAACCATAGACCCTACACCCTAAAAACCCAAAACCCTAAAGCCTGAATCATAGACCCTAAGCCCTACACCCTAAACCCTAAACCCTAAACCCCTAAACCCTAAACCCTAAACCCTAAACCCTAAACACTAAACCCCTATGCCGGCAGCCTGAGCCCGAAACCCGCAGTTCCCGAACATGGCAGCTCTTAAACGGAGATCCGGTTTCAGCCTAAAGCCTTGGCTCCAAACCCAATTCCCTAAAAGGGCTTAGGGTTTAGGATTTAGGGTGCAGGGCCCTTAATTAAGGAATATACATCTTAAATTATACGGGCCTCTAGATTTATGATTCAAGGTATTACGAAATATACCTTTAAGGGTTCCTTAAAGGTTTAGGGTTCAGGGTTTAGCGTTAAGGGTTTAGGACCCAAGCCCCTAGACACGAAACCACCGAAGCCCCGCAGACCAAGACATGAACAGCCCTAAAACATCCTAAACGGCTGAACTTCTACATCCTAGGGTTTAGGGTTTAGGGTTTAGGGTTTAGGGTTTAGGGTTTAGGGTTTAGGGTTTAGGGTTTAGGGTTTAGGGTTTAGGGTTTAGGGTTTAGGGGGATTCAAAGCCGGAACCCTATACCCGAAAACTCCCCATGCCAGGTACAAGCAATGGAGGCAGAAGTGGGTTCCGCCCAGGCAAGCTGCTCATGTAGAGCCCTAAATAATTACCAATACTATTTTCGGGGTTCCTGATAAGAACAATAGTACAATGGGCCCGAGAACCCCCTTCAAATTCTTCAGGCCCCTATATTTCATGGTCTCAGGGCTTCGGGTTTAGCGGTTTAGGGGTTTAGGGTTTAGGGTTTAGGGTTTAGGGTTTTAGGGTTTTAGGGGTTTAGGGTTTAGGGTTTAGGGTTCACGGTATAGGGTTAGGGTTTAGGGGTTTCCGGTACAGTTGCTGATGCTATTCTGCTATTCCTTGGATTTTAGGGTTTAGGGCGTATAAGTACGGATACTGTTCCTTGCTATAAATGTTGTATCCCCTGAACCCTAGCCAAGTCGTTTAGGGTTGTACTTAAAAATTAGAATAGGGTTTTGGGGCCCATGATACTATACTTAAAATGAGAAGCCCAAATAGTATTGGTAAACATTTAGGCCCCTACATTATAGGGTCCAGAGTTTAGGACTGAGGGTGGGGATTCATGGGTTCGGGTCATGGAGATGACTGTGGCGCACCGTATATGAGATGTACCCCAAACCCTGAACCCTAAACCCTAGACCCTAAACCCCTACCAGCGGGAGGAAAAAGGTGCTTAAACAAAAAAACCCAAAACCCTAAACCCTAAACCCCTAAACCCTAAACCCTAAACCCCTAAACCCTAAACCCTGAACCCTAAACCCTAAACCCTATAGGGCTGAAGACGTTGTAAAAATGGGGCGCCAGGGATTCGCGTCCTGAGACATGATTTGAGCCTCAAGCAAAAGCCTTGAACCCAAGAGACACATGGAGGGTTTAGGGCTTGGGGTATTGGGGTTTAGGGGCCTAGGGTATTAGGGTTTAGGGTATTAGGGTATTAGGGTAGTAGGGTATTAGGGTTTAGAGTTTAGGGTTTAGGGTATTAGGGTATTAGGGCATTAGGGCATTAGGGTTTAGGGCATTAGGGTTCAGGGTATTAGGGTATTAGGGCATTAGGGTTTCGGGTTTAAGGGGGCCCCGAAACCCTTCCTGATTCGAAACAACCAAAAGCACACATCGTATGGAGCGGTTGTAAGTCTTACAAACTGGACACGCCCGTGTCAACACCCTAAACCCTAAACCCTAAACCCTAAACCCTAAACCCTAAACCCTAAACCCTAAACCCTGAACCCTAAACCCTAAACCCTTGTGGAAAGAAAACACCTTATGGAAGCCCGAGGAGACCCGAAACAGGCAGAGATCCGCCCCTAAACCCAAAACCCTAAAACCCACAAGCCTAAAGCCCCAAACTCTAAACCTAAAAGCCTAAAGCCCTCAACAAACACCCAAAAACCCAAAAGCCTAAAGCTCTAGACCCTAAACCCCAAAAGCCCCAAAAACCCAAAAACCCAAAAACCCAACCCGTAGACCCTACACCCTAAAACCCTAAGCTCCCCCCCCCGAAAAAAGCTCCCAGAGAGCCCAATACCAGTTAATTAAGGAATATACCTGAAATCATAATATTCAGGCCCCTACAATTTAAGGCATATTCCTTATTTAAGGGGTATTGGGCTCTCTGGGCCCTAAACCCTAAACCCTAAGACCCTAAGCTCCCCCTTCCAGGAACAAGAAGCCCCCTAAAACCCTGAAGACCAAGGCTAGTGCAAAGTCCACCGAGACGGCCCGGAGAGGGGCCAGCGAAGCGCTGGAGAGTACCGAGGTACCTTTTGGGTTGAGGGTTTTGGGTTTCCGGGGTTTAGGGTTTTAGGGTTTTACGGTTTAGGGTTTGGGTTGCGAGGCATACTTAGGGTTTAGGGTTTAGGTTGTAGAGTTTTTGTTTTGGGTTTTGGACAGGGGGGTGGGGGTTGTAAGGGGATTTGTGAAAAAGGGCTCTTTCAGTTTTTCTAGATTTCAAAAAATCAAGGGATTTTGCAGGGTTGTAGCGGCAGCAGCAGCAGCAGCAGCAGCAACAACAACAACAACAAGGAACCAGTCACAACCACAACCTCTACCTTTCGTAAAATCTCTGCACGGACTTGTGTCAAGAGTCAAGATTGGCAAAGCCAGTGCGCAACTTGCAGGGTGTCACAACAACGACATGTTGAACCTGTTTAACGATCCTTCTGGGATCCCAGGTTCTGTATACAGCCCAACAGGCTTCCACAGCTCCAACCTACTAAACGAGCCGGAGCCATGCTGAACTCGAAGAGCTTTGATCCCTCGTAGTCCATAACTCCGCTTACTTCATGTTTGGTTTGCAGAGGCCCTTATGTGAATTTGGGGGTGTTTCGTACCAGTGTCCCGCAACCAGAAACCCACGCTACAAGTTCACCAGCAATTCTTGGGAGCTATATGGGGTCTCCCAAAATAGGGGACCCTAATATGATACCCTAAAGAGGTAGGATCCTTATTAAAAGAACTGCAAAATAAGGCACCCCTAAACCCTAAACCCTAAACCCTAAACCCTAAACCCTAAACCCTAAACCCTAAACCCTAAACCCTAAACCCTGAATTTCGGAAGCTCCCATATGAGACACCAACGAAGGTACACGTTCACAAGACCTGCAGACTCCTAGAACACTCCTGTATACCCCATAAACTCCCTTTAGGGTTTAGGGTTTAGGGTTTAGGGTTTTGGGTTTTGGGTTTAGGGTTTAGGGTTTGGGGTTTATGAAGCCTGCTTTACGACTCATGACAGGTGGTTCTCTCAATTTAAGAGCCTCCGGCTCAGGCCGCCGACCCCGTGGGCGACAGACCAAAAGCCGAATCCCTAAACCACCCCCAAGACCTAAGCTGATTGTCCATGCGCAAGCCTTGAG